TCCATCTTTAGCTCAGGCATTGAGTATTTCTGATCCCTCTTTACATTCCAGTACCTGGCCCAAAGTAAGAACACACAAATGCTTATTTAGTGGAGAAAATGAGGATTCTTTTGGTCTAAAGATGTTGATATAATCCTGGCCACTGTCAAAGAAAATTCTGTTCTCAGTTTGGTCACTAAGTGCTTGCTACAAGTTACTACTCTGTTCAAGTAAGCTCTTCTCGGTTCTGATGGTTACACTCTGAAAACCACAAAAGCCCACCTACCCTATAGCTCCCAATGTTAGTTTTCAGAATCCAATTCTTTCCTCAACAATGGAGTGGGTAACCACAGAAACTTGTGGAATCTGTTTTCCTAGAAAACATGAGAAACAGAAATGCAGTTCTGTCTGGAAACTGCTCCACCATCTTCCTGTAAGTGGGGAGCCAGGCTGAACAAGACACCCTTTGAAAACGCTGGCATACCTGTGCTACCAAGATAGTAAGAAAAATGACTTAAATTCTTCTGGCACTTATACCTTACAAAGTAAAGTCATTTAACATCTCCAGAATAGTCACTGGAGCTTATTTTACTTGGATCTAATAATGCTTTTGCAGACACCTTTTCTTTCTAAATTGTACAAAAATCATCCTAATAAGACAAAATAAAGACTGCACATAGCAATAGAAGATCAAAAAAAAAAATTTTTTTTAGATTGACTTTCTCTCAAGTACTCATCCACTATGCCTTTTTAAGAAACTTTCCCCTCAAATATTACACTCGGTTTTCCCATGTACGAGTATCTACACAATTCACTACCTGTATCATATCGTAGTATAGTATTTCCTATTTCACCTGATTCACAAGTATCAAACTTTGTCTCCCCCGTTGAACTGTAAGCTCCTTGATTATGGGCCCTGTTTCATACCTTCAAGTTCTCCTCTCCCATGTTAACACTGTGGGTTCACAGTAGGTCTTGCCATGAGCTCAATGCTAAAACAGGAAAGTGCAAAAAGCTATTCTAATTCACTCTCTTACTCTGCACTGAGCACATGAATGCCATGTGGTCAAAAAAACAAAGCTTTTCAGTCTGTTCTCTATTGAAATTGGTCATAAAACTCAAACCAGCCTACTTAAAGGTTAATTGACATAGGGATTAAATTAAGAAAAAGACCTAGACTTACAGACCACATATAGTTTGCTTCTGCTGTAAGAATGGGGAGCCATGGACTGCCTCCATGGAGATGGGGCTGTTTTAGAAAGCACAGCACAGCCAGCCTGTGGAACACAGAACTCTGAGAGAACCAGGCAGCCAGACCAAATTAATACATTTGTTAGATAACAAGAAACTCAGAAAAAGAGTTTCAGAAAAACTTCATACAATAATATTATTTAAGAACACACAAATAAGGGGCTGGAGAGATGGCTCAGTGATTTAGGGTATCAGCTGCTCTTCCAGACAAACTATTCCATTACCAGTACCCACAAGGAAGCCAACAACCATCAGTTCAGTTCTAAAGGACCTGACGCCCTCTTCTGGCCTCAGTGGGTACTGCATGCACACGTTGCAGACACATGCAGGCAAAATACCCATACATATTTAATATAAATATAAAATTTTAAAGACTTCTTGCCACTCATTCCAGGGAAGTGAAACTCTGTGGTCATATACATATACATATACATATACATATACATATACATATATATATATATATACACATATGTATATGTATATATATATGTTCATCACAGCCTTATTTGTAACAGTCCAAAACTAAAACCAATACATGACATCCTTCAACAGATGCACAGTTTAAAATACACAGACAAATAAAAGTATTAATTCTTCATAATGGAAAGAACACGTCTAAAACAAGACCAATGGGCTCAAAAGAACACTTACAGAGAGAGATGGACCCTTGATCACTTCTTTATTTATGAAAGTCAATTTTATTTAAACCCTACTATGTGGCACTGGACTATGCACTAGGAATACAGAACTTAACCAAAGTTGCAGTTCTACAAACTTCATGGAAAACTTCAACCTAGTATTTTAGAAGGGCCTCAGGGCTGCTTCAAGAACTGTACAGGGAGAAACTCGGAGTACAGAGATCAAGTCTAACTTGTTTCAGTCAATTATTACAGCCATCTGAGAATAAAAGCACGAGAAAACAGTTTCTTATTCTTTTGTTTAGCACCAAAGATTGGTTTATTTACTACACAAGTGTGTCTATTAGTCTCCTACACACAAGACAGTCTGTGAGGCACCAAGTACACAAAGAACGTCAAGAGAATGATGCTGCACTTTTCTCAAAACCACCATCCAGCAGCAAGAGCTCAGGATAAGAAGGATGCCAGTAGGAACAGAAGAAAATAGCAATTTCAGCTCTGTGTAGGCCTCCCACCACTGTCACAGAAAAGAACAGTCTAATAGTTTTTGTGCTAACAATAACCCAATAGGGACAGAAGCGCAGGTCTTACTATTTCTGGCATGACAGTGAAGAAACTGACATGCGGAGTAGCTAAAGGACTCTATTAAGGTCATTTCCAGTGGCAACAAAATACCTAGAAACCAAGTTGTTTATTCCAGGAGACACAGTTTTCACAGTTGATGCTCTTCCCTGTCAACTCATTCCTGACCAACAGCATACATTTGCAGGTGTCAGGCAGGACAGTGAAGTTGTTAAAGCAAATGCCAACATCCTGTGAGATGTCACCAGGTGAGATTAGTTATTTGATGGAAAGAAAAAAAGTATAAGTTATCAAAGGATCCCATTATACAAATACATACACACACACAGACACGATGGGACAAAAAAAAAAAAAAAAAAGCCTGCTCTTGGAAACATATGAATGAGCAAATAAGCATTTCAGCAGAAAGTGACATAATTAAATACACCACAAAAGCAAAAGACTCACTATAAATTTGATGCAATGAAGGTTTAGAGAATGACAGCTGAGCCAGACTTTCCAGTTAAGAAAAAGCAGAAGCTTGTATAAGGATGACACAGACAAACCTTCAGATTACAAAAAGAAAGGCGCCTACCAAAAGTGAGCATCACATTTAGATAAATAATCCACTTCCTACTTTCTTTGCTTCACTTTTCAACTGTACTCAAAGCCATTCTGAAACTATTTCACTTCCTTCTTTCTAGGAGAGTTATAATTTTCTAACCTTTCCTAGTCAAAGAGGATGAAAGTAACTTTGGCAAAACGGTTAAGACCCTGTGTATCACTGCCTTATTCTTCCACTTTCTTTCAACCTAAGTGAAACAAATCTCACCATCTTCTCCTGTACATAGTAAAATTTATATGTAACAATCAAGAACCACTTCACAACAGCTATCAGGAGAAATCAATTTATTTATTTTTGCTTTTTCAAGTTTCATGTAGCCTAGGCTGGCCTCAAAGTAGCCATGTAGCGTAGAGTGACTTTCAACTCTGGATGTTTATACGTCTGTATTCTGAGTACTAGGTTACAGGCTCAGTTTGTATCACTATTAATCATGATTTTATAAGCAGATTGATATATGTGGAACGTCAGCATGTTGTAGACTGATAACCAAAGCACACAAAACCTAAAGAAAAACAGCGCTAGTCATTTCATACTACTGAACGGGCAAATTACTTTTAAGAAGAGCAAAAATTATCATCATCCTTCCAAACAAGCAATGTTTTCCTCTTAAAATGCAACTCGGTTTTCAAGACAAAATAAGAACTGGAGGATGGCTGAGCAGGTGTAGCTCAGCTGTGAGAACTAGGTCAGGTCGCAGCACTCACAGCAGATGCTCCCAAACCCTGTCACTGCAGCTCCAAGGGAGCTGAGGCCCTCTTCTGGTCTCTGTGGGCACTGCACCCATGTACACATACACTCACAGATTCATACACACAGAGAAATTAACAAATCAAATATAACAATCTGATATTTTCATCAAATTCTTACGAGATTCATACTCATAACAAGTTACCTTCCTTTTAAAGATCTGGTGAATTTTACACAGCGGTAAATAGCCACTTAAATGACAATTCAGAATGGTGCGAAGTTTCACTGACAACATAATCATAACTTTGGGTGGAGTGCATGGTTTCAACCTGTAGCCCAAGCTAGCCTCAAATTCACAATCCTCCTATTTTAGCCACCTAGCACGGGTCTTTAATTCCTAAGACTTAATTCCATCACAAAAAAACATATATTCTATAAGCAATTAGCCTAAAGCTTAAATTTAAAACATAACAACCTTTTTAGGTGGGAAGGAGAACTGGGCCTGGTTTACATCTAGACCTTCAAGAAAAAGACCACTTAGGCAGCCAAACTGTATCCTAAGTGATGGTAAGGTAGCAACTGAACACGCAGCAACAGTGACATCTAGTGTTAAAAACTGTAAACACCTAGACCAGCATCAAACCACCTTCAGTGTTAACAATTCCCTGTTTGAAGCTTCTCTTCTTTCAAACCCTGCATTAATACAACCCATACCCTGCATTTAAACTGTCCATAATCAAATAGTTTCATAGGTCCACCCAAGGTAACTTTTTAAGAGAAAAATATCTGAGAGTAAATTCCCAAAAAAGCCAAAAGCACTGATTCTCCAAGTGGCTGAGTCTCTCACTGTTTCACAAAGTACAATGAAAAGGGAGTGAGAATACAAAGCTGGTTACATTTCTACTGGGCAAGCCAAGATGGTATGCTAGACAGTGCTGTATATATATATGTCCAAAAAAAGTAACCGGAGGCATTTCAGAAATATTTGTAGAAGATAAAAAGTAAAGAAAAAAAAAAAAAATCTCTGCTTACTGTGCCCAGAGGTGAGTCTGCGTTTCTGCCCTTCCAGCCCTGCCCTGTTCTGCTTTCCAAAATCTGCTTACTAAACAGCTGATCCACCAAGGACTTAGATTTAGGTAGCATGGCTTAACTCATTATGGTATTTTTATAGTTTTAGATCACTGATAAATCTATGAACTTGGAAGCTATTTTTAGCCTGGACAGTGTGTGTGAAGGTAAAGTTGGATTGAACTTACCTATTTGTTTTGGAAAGTTCTTCCTTTCCCCTTTTAACTCCAAATATTCTTGTGATCAAGGAACTAAAGAGAAGTGTGGATGAATTTCTCACCTAATGTAAAAATAAACATAAGCGTTAAGAACTATTCGTGGAATGAAACCAATGTTTACAATGTTTAAACTAGATATTCAAAATTATTACCTAACTGGGTGAGGCTAAGGAAAAAAGGTTTGTGTTCATAAAATAAGGCAACTGAAAAAAAAAAAAAAAAAAAAAACAAACTTTCTGATAATTCACTCAATGACTTCCTCTTAAACTGACCCAGTTGGAGAAATCCAACCACATGAACAGATTCTTCTAATAGCAACTGTTTCATCATGTATTTGCACACTTCTAAACAACAAATCAGACTTTCATTTCTCCACGTCCTGACAATGAACACTCCAGAAAAGACCTGAGCTCCTACTTTTACCTGTGAAAAATATTTGTGAGATTTACCTTTATAGAATCCAGATAATTAAAACAGCCAAAACATCAGTTAATATTCAAGATGTCATTTATTAATCTTCAACACCAGTAGGCCATTCAAGTAACTTAAATTTTTTTCTTTCTTCTTCTTCCCTCCCCACCCCTTTGGCTGAGACAGAGTTTCAGGGACAGGGACAGCCGTGGCTGTCCTAGATCTCCTGTGTAGCCCATGCTGGCCTTGAACTCATAAAGATCTGCCTGCCTCTGCCTCCCAAATGCTGGGATTGTGCACCCACCCAGCCTCTGAAATTATTATATGATAACTGATGAATAAAAATGAAGCAAGACAACTAGTCACGATAGCACAGACCTGTAATCTCAAGATTTGGGAGGCTAAAGCAGGAGAATCCTGAGCTGCAGGCCAGTCAGGTTACATAATGAGGCGCTATCATAAAAAGAAAAAAGTCATGCTGGACAGATGGCTCAGCAGTTTTAGATCCAGCGCTGCCTTTTGACCTCCTCAGAAGCCAGGCATGCATGTGGTATCACAATCATAATGTATGTCAACTAGTAACATAAGCTAAGAGGTTATCCACATTAAGGATGAGCAAAATAGTTCAAGAGGTAAAGGCTCTTGCTGCCAACCCTGATAACCTGAGCTCCATACCTGGAACCTATATGGTAGAAGGAAAAAAACTGACGCTCAGAGTTATCTTGTAAAAGACTGCCACACATGAGTCATGCAATTATTCATGCATGCACACATAAGAGTAATAATGTTTTAAAAGAAAATAAGAAAAAAATTAGAAAACAGCTTTCTGAAGCCATTGCAGTAACAGTGACATACTCAAATGCCCAAGAGTAGTAACAACAGAGACATCAGTACACTGTGTCTAGGGCAGTTACTATCCAGCTTAGGCTCACTAATGGCCACAAGGGAATAAAAGGCAGTAATGCCAGATCTTCTGTGTTTTTCAAGGGAAGCCAGACACCCTGTTTTTTTATATGAAATCTCACTATTTGGAAATGCTGGCAATAAATTAAAGAAAAGTGAGGCACCATCATGGAAGCCAAATAAAACACAGCAGCAGACTGTATCTGTCCTAACGGCCACCCACTGAAAGCTTTCCTTTGGAAGCCCGAATTGCCAATTCATCTACAATAACCTTGACTTTATGAAAATTGACTTTATGACTATATAAGCACCATTTACAGTATATCCCCAAACTAGACAGAGATCTACGGTCAACAGTCAATAAATAATGGAACCAGTACCTAATATCCCCAACCAGAAATCCCTCCATGCTGTTCCGCCATCAGTACTGCCTGTGCCTCAGCTCAGATCTGGATTATCTCAATTGTTCTTGGTTGTTTGTTGTCCCTCCCTTAATTCTAATGGATGGCTTTAATTTGCACTTCCTTAATGATAAAATGCTTTTAAGCATTTTTCTATGTGTCCATTGGTTACTTTCTTCCTTGAAGAAAGGTATTCAGATTCACTTTTATTTTCTTACTGAGTTTTAAGTAAATCTTTTAAAACCCAGGGCCTTGCCCATGCTAGCAAGTGTTTTACCATTTATCCATAACCCCAGCTGCCACTTTTTTGTTGTTGTTTTTTTATACGACAGAATCTTGCTATGTAGCCCAAACTAGGCTGGAACTTGCTATCCTCTTGCTTCAGTTTGGCAGATTTGGAATTACATATATGAACCTGCATACTTTGGTCATTTGAACATGGTATCAAATAGGATTGTATTAGTTATTTTTCTTATTGTTGTCACAAAACACCTGACAAAATGCAACTTAAGGAAGGAAAAGTTTATTCTGGTCTACAGTTCCACCATGACCCAGAAGGCGGGGTGGCAGGAGTGAGAAGCTAGCTGGTCACACTATACAGTCAGGGGGCAGAGAGTGGACAGGAAGTGGGAGGAGGCTGCAAAGCTTCCAGACCTGCTCCATGACCACCTTTTTTAAAGGCTCTACCCCTTAAAGGTTTCACAAACTTCCTAAGCAGTGACACCACATGGAAACCAAGTATTCAAACATGAGCCTCCAGAGGACATTTCATATTCACACTACAAAGGGCTTGGAGAGAAGCAGAGGAAGGAGGTGGAGGGCGACTTCACCCAAACCAAAACATATAAAAAGCCCTTAGGAAAACCCATTTTGTCAGCTAATTTTTTAAATACAGTAATTAAAGGACTTTGAGCACAAGTACCTTGCCTGTAAATATAGTGTTCCCCCCAGAAGACATGGCTTATTAAAATCTCAGTGCCAGGCTTAGTTATCTCCCTATGTGTTATTAGTCAGAGAGGCTACAAAAGCCCCCAAAACAACAAAGGCTAGTGCCACAGTTCTTGGTTGTCTACCAGAACTAGATGGAAAGACTCTACTGGAGATTCAAACAACTGGCATTTATTGCTTCATCATTCACAACTAAAAACTTGGAAAATAATCTCAATGTCTACCATCTTGTCACTACAGTAAGGACAAATGGTATACTGGAATATTACTCGGCCTTAGAAAGTAATGAAATTCTGATCTATGCTACAGCACACCTGAAACACAGCAAATACAGAGGGACATACAGTGTGTGATTGCACCTATGGATTTGTCAGGCAGGCAAACCCACAGAGAAGGCACAGCAGAGGGTACAGGAAGGAAGGAAGGAGTCAGTGATGGGGAACAACCCTCCTGTTTGTGATAAAAAGTTCAGAAAATACACAACAATGATAACACCTGTACTGGATTCCACTGAGTTGGGTATACTTACAAATGGCTGAAGTGGTAAATTAAAAAATGATAATGGACCATTAAAAGAAAAGAAGTAATGACCCAGAGCTGACTCACTACATACAGCAAAGAAAAATATATAGTAGTAACAGCCCAAAGACTGAGAGAAGTAGAAGCATACTATTAGTAAGTTCTTACACTTTATGTGGCATAAGTTAAAGATACACAAATGCCAAAGCAACCACAAAATAAAGTCATTATCAATAATAAACCAACAGAGGAGATAAAAAGGGAACCATAAAATGAAGGTACAAAATGTAGTCTAATCCAAACTTATCCCCTGAAGAAATAACTTGATAACATGCAGCATATATATTGTATCATCAAGTAAAAGGCCCGCTTGTAAAACCCTATTATCCAAAAACATAATGAACTCAATGGGCACACATGGCATGAACACTCACTGCCCAGACAGGTGACGTAAAGCCCAGAATCGCAGCCTTAGCTCCATCAGCAACATAAGGAACAATGCTTTCTCCCAGACGGGTATCTCTGAACAAGGCTCTGAGGATATTTAAAGCATGAACCTAGAATGAAAAGTTCAAAATCAGTGGTGGATCTAAAACTATGGTAATTTTAAATCTGTACACAAATTGCCAGAAGTGGACAGTTCTCAAATAAGATAGTACATTTAAGAGAATACACTTAAGGACTGAAAACCTAGGTAAAGGGTTTATAAAATGGAGCAATGCAACTAAAAAAGCTTCATCTATTGTACATATGTAGAATTCTGTACCTGGTAAATAAGAAAAGTAGGTTCTTTCTAAAGATACATGGAATATTTAATTTTTAAAAAACAATCCCCAAAACAGCCACAAATAAAATTAATAAATGTCAACTATTGCTACCTTGTACATTATGCTCTGATTACAGTGGAATTGCATAGATATATTGTTTTAATGCTTTTAAAATAAATATATTTTATTTTGCCCCCACCCCCACCAAGACAGTTTTACCGTGTAGCCCTGGCTGTCCTGTAACTAACTCTATAGACCACGCTGGCCTCAAACTCACAGAAATACGTCTGCCTCCCTATTGCTGGGATTAAAGGTATATCCCACCTCTCCCTAAAGTAAATACATATTAAAACATTGGTCAAGGGGCTGGAGAGATAGCTCAGAGGTTAAGAGCACTGACTGCTCTTACAGAAGACCCAAGCTCAGTATTCACAAAGTGGCTCACAACTCCAGTCACAAGTTATATAACTCCAGTTCTATGGGATCTGACAGCCTCTTCTGACCTCCATAAGAACCAGGCACAGGCATGGTACATATATTTATTCAGTCAAAGCATGAATCCACACAAAATGAATAACTATTAAAAAATCTAAGCAATGGTCAAGAAAATTTAATATTTATAGTTGATTGACACTGTACAAACTAACTGAATCATAAGAAATATAAACTTACATCTTCAATGGCCCTATTTAAAAATACTAAAAAACAAATGTTACATGTCCACTTACCATGACAAAAAAATAATAATTTTCAAAACAAAAGAAAAAGAAAGTTGTTTTAATTAAAAAAAAAAAAAAAAAAAAAGGCAAAAACACAACTGAGAGCATTAAGACAACCTTTGTGGCAGATCCAGGCCTTACACACACTAGTAAAGTGCTAGGCCACTTAGCTACATCCCAAGAACAAAAACTGATTGTTCAAAATCAGGTTTCTTACAATCCTAACAAGAAGGAAAGAAGTCACAAATAAGCAATATTACCAATGCCACAAGAATCTTATTATTTGTCAATGTTCCTATAACCTCGAGTCTTTTCAAAGTGGCCCACTAAGAAAATAAGCAGTTATATTTTCCACATTTCAATGAAAAATGTCTTGATATAGTCTTTTGGAAAAATGATTAATAATATGTTAGTTACTTTTCCCAGGGTTAAATTTCCCAAAGAATTCTCTTACAGTAATTGGCCCCTATGTAAATGTTAATCAACACCATACTTTCCCCCAGTCAGCCCATATTATGGGCTGGCACCTGATACTACCTAAGACCACATAAACTTACTTTTCTTTTGTGTAAACTTAGCTCTGTTCCCTAAAAGAAATAGTAATAGTTCCATAATAATAACATTAAGAAATATCTTACCAACTGAATGCTTTCAACAGAGTTCAAAAATTGTTTAATTCCATCAATACATATCAACTAAAGCAAGTTTATTTTGTGGAAAAAAAAAAAAAAAAAAAAAAAGACCAAAAAAGGGAGAAAAAAAAAAAAAAGCAAAAAGCAAAGCAACCCTCCCACACCCTTCACATCGGCCTCCCTTCAGCGTTCTGCATCTTTAGCAGACACTCTTAAAGAGCAACTGTACAGCAGAGACCTGTCGCCTCCGGCCTGCAGCAGCACACGCACATTCCCATCATTACCTGGGGGACTATGCCCTCTGAGGCATCTACAGACAAGGCCAAAGAGAGCAGCTCTTTCATTGTTATTTTTAACAAATCCATTTTGCCTTTCTTTGGTTCTGATGCCAACAACGCCTATGGGGGGGGGGGAGAACAAACACACAAACAAACAAAAACAAAAATCAATGAGCTTTTATTTTGCACATACCAATTTGTCAGCTTTAGAATCAATCCTCAAATTTAAAATACCATCTATTAAAAACAAGACTTTTGAGGTAATTTAATTAAGCCAGGCAATTTTAACCAGGAAGCTTAACTTCTGTATCCTTGCTCATATATAAAATTAGGTTAAGGTGAAATCATGTCAAGTCCATAGCCCCTTCTGTTTGCTTGTTAATTATAATTATAAATGTAAGCAACTGATGAATAAACAGTTTTGATTGACCACTTTATAAGAACCAAAATTAGGTAAAACATCAGATACAATAAGCAAGGCACTTTCAAAAACAAACTGATCAAATAAGAAATCTTTCTTTACTTAAACGATGTCAAAAATATTCTGGATTAGATTTCAGCTAAAGGTTTTCCAGCCCTCTAGAGACTGACCAACAACTTAATACTTAACCGAAGAGTCTACTGAAAGTCTAATCATAGCACAGCCTTTGAAACTCCACAGGACAAAAAGAAACATTACAAACTCCAAAGGGATCCTGCACTAGGACTTCAAAGGAGCATCTTATTTACTTTGTAACTAGCATTCAGTAACAAGATAATGGGCTACCAGCCAACTTGAAGCAATATAATAAAAAGAAATGAAGTACTGATATATGTGACAACATGAATAAACACTGAAAATACACTGCTAAGTGAAAGAAGCCAGACACAAGAGATTGAATATTGTATTATTCCATTTACAAGAAATGTCCAGAACAGACAAATCCACAGAGACAGAAAGATTAATGGTTGCCTAGACCCGAGAGCAGTGCAAGAAGGTGAGGTGGAATGGGGAGTAATTGCTAATGGGTGGGGGTTGGCAGATATTCTAAAATTAGATTATGCTAGCAGTTATCAACTCTGAGAGTATACGGAAAACCACTGTACTGTATGCATTAGATGCATGAACTGTGCCACAAGGGAATTATATCTTAACAAAGCTGTGAAAGAAAAACCACTTCAGTTACATTCTTGGACTCTGTCTTGCAAAATGCAGCTTCTGGCTCCCCGAAGTCAAAGTTTGCAACTACTCTTCTAAATCAATGACAAGCTATACAGTAAGAATATACAAGATAAATATATAAACAGATTTAAAATAAATTTCATCACAATATACTTATGCTCAGAAAACATGCTGTATGAATGTTAAAAAAAAAATTGTCTGTGCAAAGGGTAAACTCACGTACTAAAATGGTAGTTTTTTGCCACAGCTAACTTTAAACTGAAGTGATCAGCCAAACAAAGAGTATTACTTTATTGGTAAGTCATGCTAAAAAAAAAATAGGATCCTCTCTGAGCAGATTTTTCTAATAATTAAAACTTTATTCCACTACAATAAAAAAGAAAGCTACACTCAAGAGGTGTTCTACCCAGAAACATGGCTCCCTCCTTGCCCTCAGAGAACTAGGTAAAAGGATGGCAGTGTTACCTGTGAGTCTGGGCTTAGGAAATGGACTTGCGGATCACTCTGAACCTATGACCAAATGGCAGCACAAGGCGAGGAACCCAGCTGTGTAATACACAGTACAAACACAAGGCAGGACCGTCAGTTGCCAGACATCTGTCCTCAGAAAAGAAGGCCACACAGACACAGCAGGCTGGAGGGAACTGCAAGCAGGAAACTAAGCCACACTCACCCTACGTGGCTTAGCCCCAGAAACAGCTTATTTCCCAGGGCTACCCAGTGATCCCAGTCAATCGCTGCTGCAACTGCTGCCCCATGGGCACCAAAAGTCATGGAGAGACTGGGAATAAGAGAAAGAAGTAAAGGAGAAAAAGGAAAAACTACAGGAGGACTAAAAAAAGAGACCTACTTTACTGCCATTGCACTTAGTGACACTACCCAACTTGTGGATTTTGTTTTAGAATAAACAAGGATGACATCTGAGCTAGCACTGTGAGGGCACTGGTGTTTATTCTTTAGGATAATGAAGGTGCCATCTTTGTCCTCCATGCTGTAAGAGATAATTAATTAAAAAACAAGGGATCGACCATGTGTTCACCTGTGTTCAGGACTGTACTCACATATAGTCTCACATGAAGATGTGGTCAAAAGTCAGATGAACTGGGCCTAAGTCTTAGCAAGTTTTACATCCCTATGGCCTCTCCAGTCCCCAGTCTCTTCACTTAGGACATATTTATATGATAACTGTACCTATCTCATAAAGAGTTTAGGCAGGGATTTAATGAAGTAACAGAAGTGACACAGCCACCACTGAGAGCTACTATTAAGATAAGCTGGGCGTGGTGGCGCACACCTTTGATCCCAGGAGAGGCATGCGGATCTTTGTGAGTTCGAGGCCAGCCTGGTCAGGACATCCAAGGCCACACAGAAAAACTCTATCTCAAAACAACAACAAACAAAGATTATGATTTTGGGGGGCTCTGTGTTATTGGCACACACGTCTAGTTCCAGCATTCAGGAGGCAGAGGCAGTCGAATCTTTGAGTTCAAGGCCAGCCTGGGCTGCTAATCAAGTTCCAAGATAACCAGGGATATACAAAGAAACCATGTCTCAATAAAAAAAACAAATAAAAAAGATTATGATTTTTTATGAAAATTATTTTATAAAAGGACTCAAATATGGATGTTTCCTAGAAGTAAGCAATCCCTGTGTCCACAGTGACTTCTGATTACTAAATACACAGATGGAAATCTATACTGCCCTCTGTTTATATTACAAGACTGCTCTTCTAATCCAAGGACAGATCTGACACAGAACATACTGTCCACACATTAAAACAAAGTCACACAGGAGACAGAGAATGGCACAGCCAGTAAAAGTACTTGCCACCAAATGTTACCAACCTAAATTCAATCCCTGAGACCCACATGATGGAAAGAGAGAGCCAACTCCAGCAAGCTGTCCTCTGATCTCTATGTGTATCTCTATGTGTATAGTTAGCATGTGTATGCTTACACACACACATAAATAAGTAAATGTAATAAAAACTAAAAATAACAAAGTCACAGATGCTATGGTACTGAAAAGACAGAAACATCCAAATGCACTATGTCAACTCACACATTATAAAGGTGAAAATACAGTATCTTCAAAGCACAAACAGACCAGTGCCAAGCTCTTAGGAGAGTACCTGTATGTAGAAAGGAATCCCAGCACTGCGCCTTGTAGCACAGAGTTTGGATGAGGGATCACTGCTTTTAATTTCCTCCAAAACACTCCACAACCACTGCTCTGGCAGCTTTTGCAGACTCATATGAGAGCACCTAAAACGTATAAGCAAGCAATGTTTAGAATTATCAGGTACTAAAAGGTAAAAGTGCAACTGATGAGATCTAGAGTCACCCGAGAGACCCGTTTCTGGTTGTGCCTGTGAGGGGTTACCAAGTCCACCTGTGAGGCAAAGTTTGTAAGGAGGGAATGAGCTCAGCGGAGGCAGCCATCACTCTCTTCTTTCTGCCTATGGATGCAGCTCTTGATGCATTGACTTACCTGTCGTGATGTCTATATCTATGACCCACAACAGACCCCCATCTCCCTTAAGTTGCTTTTTGCAGGGTATTTCCTCACAGAAAACAAGAAAACACCTAAGACACCCTCTTTACTATGTGTCTTGGCACTTAAAGCTATTAAAGGTTCTCCTTCCTACAACTACTGCATAAAAATCACCCTATCCACAAATAAGCTTGATCACACAGGCTTGCCTACATACTCACAATGGTCTGAAGAAGGCTAGCTGAACTCTTACAGACTGTAAGAGTCAAGGCTTCCAACCAAAATATCATACACAGTATAGTTTTCTGCGATGTTTCCTGTAATTTGATTTTTAAATCTATAGAGGTCACACACAAAGTAAATGCATCTAAACTTACATTTTAATAATTATTTTATCTTATTTAAAATGTGGTTTCTCACAAATAATTTTTTTTTTCAGTTCTGTAGAGTATTAAGAATGAAATTTATCTGGGAAGAAGCAAGAAACGTAAATAGCTTATTTGAACACTATATAACAGGATGTTCTTAAAGTGTGTGGGTGTGTGTGCCTGCACATACACAAACAGGCAGGAATGCCATGGCAGAGAGGTCAGACACTCTCAGGAGTCCCTTCTCTGAGCTCCTCCATGTGCTGACCATTGCACCGGCCACCAGAAGACTTGTGCACTACTGTACTAGTTTTATCTGAAAAAGCGGCATACTCAACAGCAGGCCACAGCCACCGTAGAAGAGGGCACCTTGACGGAAGGGGGCTAGGGCACACATCGGGCCTAACGCAACAGGCAAAAGCGCCACTGCTGAGCTAGATCCCCAGTCCTTTTCTGATTTTCATTTTGAGAAAAGGTCTCAGTTAGTTGCCCATGCAGGCCTGGAATTTGGCAATCCCCTGACTCAGTCTTCCCAAGTAGAAGTTAAAGACCAGGGCCTGCTTAACTGAAAATTAACACATTATAATAAACAGATGCAAGTCGAAAAAAAATGCTTTTGTTTCAAATAAAGGAAAAATATGAGAAAGCTGGTGCAAGGGTTACAGCTTAAACACACATTTGGGATTTGTTTTTTTCTTTATTCTGTTGTAAAACAGTGAACTTCCATTTCTGACTAAACATTTCAGTTAGGAAGTAACATTTAGGTATACTTTTCATACTTCCTTAAATATAGAACTAATACTACTTAAAAGTAATCATTTTAAACTTTGAAATGGATTGAAGTATATCAGTCCTAAACCTTAGATTCAAAGCCACCTACACTCCACAGGCCGAGATTTTAAAGACTTCACTGTAGAATGGATTAAAAATTTTTCACCTTACCCTTTCTTCTTCCCATCTATGCCCTTCAGCCACCAAAACTAATTCTCCAAAATTTAAAGCATTGGCTGGGGATGTAGTTCAGTTGGTACAGAGTTTGCTTGGCACACTGCAGGCCCTAGGTTAAATCCCAGTACTGAGGGGGAAAAGTCAGAATCAGTAGACTAAATAAGACCCAAAGGCTTAACGACAAACTCTCACATGACAGCCTTGTTTGGTCCCTGATTAGAACAAATACAAGAACAATACTGCCAAGTAATATAAAAAATTAATAAATATTCTACATATAGCAGACACCCAGGATAACAGTGGCACTGGAACATGAGAAAGAGTATCTATATTTTTAAAGACACATACAGAAAGGCCTAGGTATAAAATTCACAAATCAAAATTAATATTCTAATACTTCAACAACTACCAGGCAAACAAAAGCACATGTGGCAAATTCCAGTAACTGTTGAATCTGAGAAATGAATAAAGGCAATTTGATCTATTAGTCTCTCTACTTTTAAACATGTTTGTTTACATGTATGTACATACATATACACATATTTGTACTTTAAGAAGTAAAGCTGCTTCCTATTCTATCATCTTAAAGATAAATGTTGTTCCTATGTTGGCAGTACTAAGTACAGAGCCTAGGGCCTTGCCACTGCCAGGTGAATACTCTTTCAGTAAGTCCGTTCCCAGCCACAGATAGTAGTTTCTTTAGCTTATTTAACACTGCCAACTGAAGACACTTGAGATGGCCCAGCAGTTAAGAACACGGACCACTCTTGTAAGAGGGCCTGAGTTCAGTTCCCAGAACCCATGTCAGATGGCTCACCATTCTCAAACTCCAGGACTCAACACCTTCTTCTGACCTCACATGTACATACTCACACATAAGTAAATGTTTTTAAAACTAACTGGGAATAAATAATCTTTTATTTTGCAATCAAAAAATGAACTTTATATTCCTCAAGGCAATTATATAAATGCTAACGACACAGTTACAGCTTGAACTGCCACCATCTCTGAGCCCTTTCATAACTAAAAACAGGAAGAATATATATGGGTTAATATATAGCTCCTAATAAGTAGTCAAGGAAAAAAATCAAAAGCATTTTGTGTTCACATGAATATGTTGGCGTTACATACAGACGAAAGTCACTTTTTTAACTTTATTTTTTTATTTTTATTAATTACAGTTTATTCACATTGTATCCCCCCTGTACCTCCGTCCCTCCTCCCCTCCCAAACTCACCCTCCTTCCCCCTTTTCCACCCATGTCCCTCTCCCAAGTCCACTGATAGGGGAAGTCCACCTCTCCTTCCCTCTGATCCTAGTCTATCAGGTCTCATTAGGAGTGGTTGCATTGTCATCTTCTGTGGCCTAGTAAGACTGCTCCCCCATCATGGGGAGGTGATCAAAGAGCAGGCCAATCAGTTCAGGTCAGAGACAGTCACTGTTCCCATTACTATGGGACCCACTTGGACACTGAGCTATCATGGGCTACATCTGTGCAGGGGGTCTAGTTTATCTCCATGAATGGTCCTTGGTTGGGAGTATCAGTCTCAGAAAAGACCCCTGTACCCAGATTTTTTTGGTTCTGTTGCTCTCCTTGTGGAGCTCCTGTCCCCTCCAGGTCTTACTATCTCTCCCTTCTTTCATAAGATTCCCTGGACTCTAGGCCACAGAGGAGAACTTTGCAGCCAGTCCTGAAGATACCTGATAAAACAGGGTCAGATGAAAGGGGAGAAGGTCCTCCCCTATCAGTGGACTTGGAAAGGGGCAGGGAGGAGATGAGGGAGAGAGGATGGGATTGGGAGGGAATGAGGGAGCAAGATACAGCTGGGATACAGAATTAATAAAATGTAACTAATAATAAAAATAGAAATAAATTTAAAAAAAAAAGATTCCCTGCACTCTGCCCAAAGTTTGGTTATAAGTCTCAGCATCTGCTCTGATACTCTGCAGGGTAGAGCCTTTCAGAGGCCCTCTGTGGTAGGCTCCTGTCCTGTTCCCTGTTTTCTCCCTCTTTTGATGTCCACCCTCTTTGCCCTTCTGAGTGAGGATTGAACATCTTAGCTAGAGTCCTCCTTCTTGATTAGTTTCTTTAGGTGTACAGATTTTAGTATGTTTACCCTATATTATTTATCTAAAATCCATTTATGAGTGAGTATATACCCTGTGTGTCTTTCTGCTTCTAGGATACCTCACTTAGGATGATCTTTTCCAGTTCCCACCATTTGCCTGCAAATTTCATGATTTCCTTTTTTTTATTGCTGAGTAATATTCCAAAGAAAGTCACTTTTACAGTGTCTTGATGTAGAATTATCTAAAAATTTCATTTCCTTGAACTTTCTGCTCCATTGAAGAACTGCCTTAAAGATACGGCTACAGCCTACCACAGGGCAAGTCAATAAAAATTCACTCCACATAAGAGACAGGGAGAAATGAAGTGCAGGAATGACAGGAACTTGTGCTCTTATCAAGTGCACTGCAATACTAGCACATACTGACACTAGTACAGTGAGGCTTCTCTACACAGCCTCTCTTAGGTCTTCCTGTGCCAGCAAATGAAGGCCACAGAAACCAAGCAGGTCTGTGATCACTGGGCTACCTCTCTAGGTATCACACTATCAACTGACAACTGTTCTAGACTACTCATCAAATCTTGATTTAAATGACAATATTCTTCTTAGTTTGAAAGGCCACATATGACCTGGACCTACCTTTCTTACTTTAACTTCACCAACTTCTACACACTCTGTTTTAACAAGGTTCTTGCCGTTGCTGGCCTTCTGCACAAACATAAAACACATGCACCAAATATGCAAACATGTCCATATTTCCAACTAAGCACCTGTTTATAGTATCTACACATACTCCTCTTCATCAAAATTGATAAACTTTCTAACTTATATGGAGCAATTACTAGGCACAGGTGTACATAGAGCTGGTGATGTCATGAAGGGAATGGGTTATAAGCTGGACAATGAAGGTTGTTTGGAGGAACAGTGGAGAGCCTACAAAGTAGAGTTCATAGGGTCCTGAAAGCAGATGAGCAAGGAACAAGCTTTAGCCAAGGTCCCAAAGACAATTCCCTCATTTAGATTCTTGGCTATTTGAACTGTAAACACTTAGTCAGGCCTATTTATTCCCTTGAGTATTGCATACTAAGGACTAAATGTACCTTATTAATTTGGGGATTTCCAAAGCAAGGCCAGAAGAATGTTCTACAAAATTACAGCTAGCAAAGTGCCCTCAAAAGAGCCCTCTGTGCCCACTGAAGACCAGCAACCTTGGGAAGGAGCTCCGAGAAATGCTCAGGGAACTTGCTCCTGCCATTCAGTCCAGGTTTTGTTCTGCTCTGGAATTCCCCAGCACCAAACCAGCTTTTCTCAAGAATTCTCTAATTGGCTGGTTTCCAGTCTGGGCTTTGCCACTGAGCTCTACTTCTTTGATTCCCTTGCTTCCTA